CTTGCCCCCACATTTGCACCGCGCTTAATTGGGGAACACTCTTCGTTCGCCAAAATGGCGCCCGGCACGCCTCGTGGAGGCGGTGTTCGTACCTAGGAATTAGGTCTCTATGGTTTAGGGCCCTACGATTTAAGGCCTTAGGATTTAGACCCCCTAGGATTTAAGGCGCTAGGGTTTAGGCCCATGCGATTTATGATTCTAGGGTTTAGGTCCCTATATTTAAAATTAAAGACCTATAATTTTGAGCCTTGAGGTTTAGGCCTCTATAATTAAAGGCTCTAGGATTTAAATCCAACGATTGGAAATCCTAGAGTTTAGGCCTTTATAATTTAAAGCTCTAGAATTTAAGGCCCGACGGTTTGAAACCTTAGAGTTTTGGGCCCTACAGTTTAGGGTCCTCCGATGTAGGACTAGCCCCTAGCATTTAATATCTTAAAATTTCAGTGCTTATAGTTTAGAGTCTTAAGATTTCAATCCGAAACATTTAAGATTTTAAGACGATTTAGAGCTTTGGGATTTAGATCCCTACGAGCTAAAATCTTAGGATTTAGAATTCTACGGTTAAAATAAGTATAATTATACCAAAACGAAAAAATTAAATCATAATCTAGGAGAACCTTTGGGCGGGTAGAATATATTCTTGCAGTTTATTTGACTTGAAATTTTCAAAATCAGAGCTACTAAACCCTAAACCCTAATTCCAAGTCTACAAAAGGGGGAGAATTAAATCGTAGGAAACTAAGAAATTGAGGGTACGCTTCTTTTAGGAATCGCAATTGGACCTAAAAGCAATTCAATTGTTTTTGACGACGCATGCACGGCTCCCTTAATGGGCCATTGGAGCCCGCAACACAATCAACTCGCGAATCACTTGTGGTCTTCGCGCTGCATCCCCAGCCTTTCAGCCCGTTGTGTCTGTTCTTATGCGGAGGCAGCTTGAGCGCGTAGACTAGCCTGGGCAATGCCGCAATCGGCTTGATATTATGAGAATTACCCAATCCGAAGGCGTGGCAACTTCCAAGGAAAGCTGAATGTATTCGTGATACCAGGACTCGTCATCGAGCACACAGGCTTGGAGGACTTCGGCTTGACTGTTCAGCATTTCAGCATGGTTACTCAGCTGCTGGGCCATGAGGCTCAACTGGCTGGCCATGCCTCCACGACGCAAGGCTGCTAACTATGTACTCCAAAATGGCAAAGTGTCAAGTGGCCTTGCAGACTGGCTGCCAGGGATGGCCCTTCCAAGCCATGGAGGAAATGGTGTAGTAACGTGATAGCAACGCTGCCGACTGCCTGCCGCCGCCGGGGACCACATTGAGAGAAAACCTTTTGCAGCCGCCGCACCGGATGCCGAGCCAGCCTGACCACGGTAAGCTCCAGGGCTTGGAGCCTGAGGGCCTGCGTTGAACATTTTCGGGCTCGAGAAGACTAGGTTCTGAGAA